TGGAAGGGGACTCAGGGAAAGATCACAGTCACTGGCCAGCTACAGATGTCAGTCTTCCCCCCCCCACCCCCGCTCCTCCTCCCTCTTCTCAGTTTCTGTTCCCCTGCAAGACTACCTTCTGAATCTCTGAATCTTTTCCAAATTGATTCGGAAGCTCTGAATCAATTTGAAGGCTTTTTTTGTCTCCTGATTCGATTCAGATTTCATGATTCGACCTCCAAATTGGGCCAAATCTTCTCCGAATTGAATCAGCGACCAAAGCTTCACACACCCCTACTGCAGATGCTATAGGGGATACCACAAACCCATGCAATGCCTTGCAACAAATGCAAAAGATTAAATCACTTTCCACAAGTTTTCAGAAAGGAGCAGAATGCACCACACAAGAAACAGCAGATGCGTGCTTTATGCAATGAGGAAAAGAAAGAATTCTCATTGGCACAATGCAAGAAGGGTCAGAACGGACCTAAGCAGATCATCTAGTCCGACCCCCGGCCATGGGCAGGAAAGGATGCTGGGGTCAAATGACCCCAGCTAGGTGGCTATCTAGTCTCTTTTTGAAGACCCTCAGGGTAGGGGCAAGCACCACTTCCCTTGGGAGTAGGTTCCAGCTCCTAGCTGCCCTGACAGTGAAGTAGCACCTCCTGATATCTAGCCTGAATCTACTCTCAGTCAAGATATGGCTGTTGTTCCTTGTTACCCCCGGTAGTGCTCGGGGGAACAGGGACTCTCCCATTGCCTGCTGGTCCCCCTTGGCAAGTTTATAGGCAGCCACCAGATCCCCTCTCAGCCTTCTTTTGTGGAGGATGAACAGGTTCAGGTCCCGTGGCCTCTCCTTGTAGGGCCTGCCCTGCTGCCCCCTAATCATGTGAGTGGCCCTCCTCTGGACCCTCTTGATGCTGTCCACATCCCTCCTGAAGTGTGGCATTCAGAACTGGACACAGTACTCCAACTGCGGCCTGCCCAATGTCACAAACCTTATTCCTTATTCAAAAGAAGAAAACTAAACCTGTGTACTATGATAATAAGAAAGTGAGACTTAGGGCATATAATGTGAACATTAGGCCTGTGTGAAGCAGCTAGTATTTGCTTTGGGTTCAGATTCAGCCGATTCGGGGGACAGTGATTCGATTTGGCTATTTGAATCAGTGCTCCAATCAATTTGACCGAATCTAATTCGGAGATTTGACTGCTGCAAAAATCACACAGGCCCATCCTCCAGCCACTCTCCCAGCTCCAG